TAGTTGCTTGTGCTTATTCATGTTACGGTCTCGTCTGTCATATAGTATTACTAGATTGTCAGAAGTATCTTCATACTTATTTCACCATAGTTACCATTTTCACACTCATTAGGAGACAAAAAAGTAATTTATCAAATTATTTTGTCTATATTTAAAAGAAAATGTTAGTACTGTATAATGAAATAAATATTTTACAGAAAAAGGTTTTTTTTGTTGTTTTAATCTCTTGTACCACTGAAATGAGGTCCCACTCACCTTTTAGGTTATAACTACTTCAAGTCTTTGTAAGTAAATGGAACTGGATTTCTGAGAAAAGGTGACTGATGATTATTGAGTAACAAATTACCCTGAAACTTAGAAATATAGTAGACATTTATCATCTCATGGTTTTCTTTGGATCAGGAATTTAGGAGCAGGTTAGCTGGCTTTTTCTTACTCAGTTCTTCCCAAGAAAATTGCAGTCAGGCTGCTTTTTAGGCCTGTAGTCTGTGGGACTATAGAATCTGCTTCCCAGCTCATTCATATGGGGCTGTTAGCTGGAGACTTCATTTCATTGTACATAGCCTAATGTTTTCCATTAAAGATGCTTGAGTGTCCTTGGAGCACAGCAGTTGATTTCCCCAGAACAAGGGTTGAAGAGAGTATAGAGGAAACCACAATACCTTTTATGACCTAGTTCCAGAAATAAGACCATAGCATCACTCTAGCCACAGCCATAATTTGTGTTAAAGCAAGTCACTAAATCCCATTTTCAAGTCGGGAATTTAGGCTGTACCTTTTGAAGAAGAATTTGACGATGTACTTTAAAATCAAGTGACATAAATTAAGTATCTTATAGCATATATGATAAATATTGTATTTGTTTTCTATTTTTAGGGACTAGTTCTCAACTCTATCAGACTTTGCAGCCTTTGTAAACAAACAGCAAAGCAAAATAAAAAGTTGAATCAGGCCAGTCTGTTCACTTGCAATCATGTTTTTCTGTAGATGATTCTAATGTGCAACCAAAGTTATTCACTGTAAGATGTACCTTTTGATTCTGTGATACATGTTACTGTTATATTTTTTTGTAAGACTGTTATTATCCAGATGTACATAGGAATTGAGATGTTTTGGTATATTATCTTTCAGTATTCTCTAGTTTTTAAAGTTTGTTTAGCTTTCTTTTTCTTTTTCTTTGCTTTGTGGTACTAGAGAGTGAACCCAGGGCTTGTGTACCACTGAGGTACATACCTAACCCGTTTTATTTTGAGACAGGGTCTAAGTTCCACCAGCTACCTTGGACTTACTATCTTCATGCCTCAGCCTGCCAAGTAGCTGGGATTATATGCATGTACTACTGTACCTGGTTGTGTTTATTATTTTATTACGATTTTGGCAATAATGTAGATGATGTGTAATATCTGTTTTGTGTTTATTATTAAAGTTTCCAACAGTTGTTAAAGAGCATTAAAATGAAGAATGACATACCTAATCTAGCACTCAGGAGGTTGTGGCAGGAGGATCACTGCAAGTTCAAGGACAGCTTGGGCTACATAGTGAGTTCAAGACCAACCTGAACTACATAGTGAGACCCTGCTCTCCCTCCAAACTAAAATAAGGGATTTCATATCAAATATCATGTATGTATGTTTTTTCTCTAATGAACTAGTTATCCTTTTCTCTGCTGTTCATAGTTATCTCTGTATTGTGATGCCCTACTGTCTTAAACACACACACATTTGTCACTTATGTTGCTGATGTGAAATTAAGCCATTGATTTTTGGCTGCCAAGTTAGGAAATTAAATTTAAGCTAGGTGGGATTTTGCAGAGCTGTTAAATTAAAGGAATGGTGGAAGAAAAGGTGTAAGTACAGGAGGTTGAGGAATTAAGAGGCTTCTTGAAATGCAGTAAATGGTCTTTGAAGATTAAACTAGACAGGATAAAGGATAAGACAGGTAGTTAGAGGAACTGTTTGGGCAGCAACTAAAGCTATAGGGAGGTGGAGATGTGGAGAGTTTTTTAAAAAGTAGTCTTGTAGATAGTGGCTATAACTCTAGGTGTTACAGAAATAAGTAAATTGGAGGTCTGATTTCTCTGTACATCATTATAAGAAGGAGTTTAATGTAGTGGTTAAGAATATGGGCTTTGACCCAATGCAAAAATGGTCATCTGAAATAAAAAGATACTTCTCAGATGAAGAATTAGAAACGGCTAATAAATACATGAAAAAATATTCAACATCACTGGTCATTCAAAAGATGCAAATTAAAACAATGCTGAGATTCTATCTCACTCCAGAAAGAATGGTTGCTGTAAAGAAATCAACTGATAACAAATGCAGAAGGGGCTGGGGAGAAAAAGGAACGCTTCTCCACTGCTGGTGGAAGTGTAGACTGGTGCGACCACTGTGGAAATCAGTGTGGATATTTCTCAAAGACCTAAAACTAGAGGTTTCTTTTGACTCAGCTGCACCTCTTCCCGAAAGAATTAAAAACATCATACCACAGTGGTATATGCGCACCCATGTTTATAAGCAGCACAGTTTGTAATAGCTAAATTTTGGAAACAGCCCAAATACCCATCAACTGATGAGTGGATAAAGAAGACGTGTTTTTTATACAACGGAGTACTACTCTGCCATAAAGAAGGATGAGCTTCAGACATTTATAGCTAAATGGAAGGACCTTGAGACCATACTCTTAAGTGAAATAAATTGGATACATGTTTAAATACCACATTGTTTCTCTGGTGTGAGAAACTGAATATGGAAATAGGGAGTGAGATGTATAATGGATATTGGGAAATGGTAAGAAAGTATTCAAATGGGAAGGGGAATGAGGGAGAAGGGAGGGAGAAAGGAAGGAAGCAACAAGAAAAAAGTGAAAATAGGAAAAAAATGGAAACAGCTTTTGTATATAGGGAGTGGAGAGGGTTTGAGGGGGGAATGGGATAAAATAAAAAAAGACAAAAAGTGATGGTGAAAAATGGTAAAAAAATAGTATGGACTTTGAAGTACATGTTTCAGGTTTAAATCTTTAGTTCATTTACTTAAAACTATGTGGTCTTGGGAAATCTGCATAGGTTTTTTTATTCCAAGCTTCATTTCTTATCAGTAAAATGAGAGCTTTATAAAGTGTGTAGAATTAGGAACCCAGTTTATGGCACAGACCAGGTTTATAAAATACTGGTGGTTAACAGTTGCTATTTTATTATTTACTCTGACTTGTAAATTGATAGTTAAATACAGAACAGTATAAAAGTATCTGCTTTTGAATTGGATGAACATAGTTAAAAACATTGTTGCTCATATTAAGACCATTTTCGTTCTTCATGTGGCTGATCACTTCCCCCACATAAGTAACTAGTACTTAATCCTTCCACATATGTATTATTCAAACATATAATCTGGGTACATGATTTTTTTCTCTCGTATACATAAACAATAACAAGCTTTATAAACTTGTTTTCTAACTTGCTCTTAAAATTTGACAAATTGATTTTACTACTATAACAAAACTTTTGTCAGGTTTTTTTTTGGGGGGGGGGTACTGGGATTGAACTTTAGGACCTTGGGCTTGCGAGGCAGGCAGCTGCACTACTGAGCTAAATCCCTGGCCCACTTTGTCAATTTTTTGTTTGTGTCTTTTTGCTGTACGTCATTCCTGTGTGTGGTTTTAACTTTTCCAGTCTTCCTTAAATGGGCAATTGCATGTTTTGATTTTATAATTAATATAATAGTAAGTAGAGTTGTTGAATCAGATTGCGTTTGTGACCTTAACATTGTCAGGCTATTTTCCTTATGGGTTACCAGTTTTCTTGTACTGCTTTCTTTCTCAGTCTTGCCACCAGAATAGGATTTTACTACCCTAATAACCAAAAAGTGTTTTGTGTACCTTAAGTTTGGATGTCTGTTACAGATGAAGTGAAATTTTTACTTCTATTCAAGTGTCATTTTTTTTCTTTTTTGTGTGTATATATCCTTTGTCTATTTTTCTATTAAAGTATTGGTGTTGGCCAGGTGTGGTGGCACACCCCTGTAATCACAGCACTTGAGAGGCTGAGATGGGAGGATTGTTACAAGTTTGAGGCCAGCCTGGGCTACATAGTGAGTTGAGGGTTAGCCTAGATTACATAGTGAGACCTGGTCTCAATAAATAAATAAATAGATAAGTAAGTAATGATTTTAGTTGATAGAAACTCTACATAATAGGGGAGTTTGCCTTTTTGTAAGAAGTTAACTATTTGAGTTTTTTTCTTGTTTTTCTTTTGACTTTCATTCTGAAAAATTTTTTTAATACAGTCACATTACTGTAGTGAGGGATGGATTTGTTTCATAACTCAAAAGGTCTTCATTACTCCAGTTATAAAATAACTCATTTTTCCTCTAAAAATTAATGGTTTCATATACTTTTATAGTTTTGTACTTAATTCTAATATATGGATTAAATTATGAATCCAAGTTTTCTAAAAAGATAACTGCCAAGTTGTCTGAATACCATTTACAGTTCATTTCTTTATTGATTTGGATGCCATCTTAATAAAACACAAATTTCTGGTATGTTTGGGTATATTTCTAGGGTTTCTTTTCTGCTATTTAATTAATAGATGTTTATGTTTTTAAGAAATGAAGTTGGGTGTGGTGCCTGTAATCCCACCACTCTCAGAGTGAGGCAGGACGATCAGGAGCTTGAGCTGGACAACTTCATGACTTAGTGAGACACTGCCTAAAAATAAAAATGTACATGAAAAGGACTGAGGATATAGCTCCACGTAAAGATCCTGTATTCAGTTCCCAATACTGAGAAGGGAGGAAGGGGAATGAGGGGGATGGATAGGTGGATATAAGATACATTGAAGAGAAAAACATGTCTTTAGTACCTTCCGTGAGCCAGGTGCTTTTTATATATATTAAATCACTTAACTTTTTCATTCCAAGTAACTTTGTAACTGGAATTTATAGAATGTGCAGGTATTTATGGTTAAATGTCCTTTAATACTGCTTTTTTTGTTTGTTTAGTTGTGATGCAGATCCATCAGCCCTAGCAAAATATGTTCTGGCTTTGGTAAAGAAAGACAAAAGTGAAAAAGAGTTAAAGGCATTATGTATTGATCAGCTGGATGTATTTCTTCAGAAAGGTAAGATCTTTGGTTTTAAAGTACTATTTTACTTTAAAAAGTTAAAAATTAGATTATCCAGAGTATTGAAGGAACTTAGTTAAGAGATGGACTGTAATTGTAACAAAGCTGAAAAAACAGTATTATTATTATACTTGATCTTAGCCAAAAGGCCAAGAAGCAATTACACAGTATTATTATTGATTATATCTAGAACTTAGTTAAAATGGAAGCTTTCTCTCATTAATACGCTTATTCCTAAAAGATGCTGATTTCTTTATTTTTTTCTTTCTCTTTTCTTTTCTTTTTTTTGAGACAAGTTCTCAGTCAGGCTGCCCTTGAACCCACTGTGTAGCCCAGGATGACCTTGAACTCACTGCAGTCCTCCTGCCTCAGCTTCCTGGGTGCTGAGATTACAGGCATGCACCCCTACACCCAGCTATTTTTTCTTATATAATTAAAGAGTTCAGAAAACGATATGTTTATTTCAAGATAGTACTGGTTGGGAAGCTACTTTGAATTTTGTGTAGCATATTCTTTTCAACTTTTTTGTGCTTTGCCCGCATCTAGATTATTTGCTGTTAAATACCGGGTGAGCTGTGTGGAAAAGACTGGTCATAGCTAGAAGTGACTAACTGCAGAGGCTCTGGCCATTCCAGTCTCTACCATCTTGAAAACTGGATGAATGAATCATTACCATGGAACTTTTGCCATTTTGCACTGGTTGAGAAGCTGTTGATCTTAGTATTATTTCTGCATTTATAATAGCCAAAGTATATTCGATTATATTAGAGGTCTGATGTGTAGAAGTAGGGAATTAATATCCTCTAAAATGTTTTTTAATCTGTTGTTCTTTTTTGTTTAATTTTTAGAGACACAGATATTTGTAGAAAAACTTTTTGATGCTGTGAATACAAAGAGTTATCTACCTCCTCCAGAGCAGCCATCATCAGGAAGCTTGAAGGTAGAATTTTTTCAGCACCAAGAAAAAGATATAAAAAAAGAAGAGGTAAGAAGTTTTGTTGTATCTTACAGATTACAGTTTCTTGAAACATAAAAGAAAGAAACTAGTTTTCTTTATCTTTGTGTTAGGAATTTTCAAGATACTCTTGAGTTTGATTTCACTAGGCACTGGGCATTTAAGTTTTAGCATGTCATATTCATGGCTGTGCCTTGTACCTTAGTCACTTTCTTTGTCCCCGGGAAAAAAATATCTGACACTAGCAACTAAGAGAGGAATGGTTTATTTTGAATAACGGTTTGTAGAGAGTTTCAATCAGCTGGCTCTAAGGCAGGACAGCATGGCATAGAGGCATGGTGGAAGAGAAGCTACTCATACTATGGTGGTGGGGAAGCAGAGAAAGTCAAGGGAGAAGCTGGATAGGCAGTTAATCCTTCTGTGTCATACCCCACTAACATTGAGGCAGCTGTCAGCCCTATGATCCAGTCACCTTCCAAAAGGCCTGCCTATGATTGCATGAGGCTTTAGGGAAATATCTAGAAATCAACCATAACAACTTGTAAATGACAAAGTAAAGTCAGCAAAGGTGTATGAGGTGAAATCTGGTGGATAATAGGCATAGGCTTCCAAAGTTCTTGGAATAACAAAGGATGAACTTAGTTCTCCTAGCAGTGAGTTGTGACAATGCGTTAATCAGGGAAGCTTGTGAGAGACTCAGTGCCCAGGGCTTGTATTTGGAATAGACACCTAGTATATACCAAAGTTCCAGACTCCCAAGAAGAAAGCAGATGTTCAGCCAAAACTATATTTCACAGTTTAGGCCAGCGAGCCATTCTTCATCAGGAAATAGTGGGAACCCTCCCTCTAGAAATGAAGGGTTGCAGAAGCCAGCCAAAGACCAACATTATGAGGAGGTCCTTCTAAGGATAGCTGTCTTAGGCAACTTTTTTTTTTTTTTTTTGTTACCAGGGATTGAACTCAGTACCTTGCACTTGTGAGGCAGGTGGCGGAACCACTGAGCTAAATCCCCAGCCAACTTTTTTTTTTTTTATCACTTTTTCTGCACATTATCTTATAGACACGCAGTCTAATTATTTTTGTTCTGTGAAAATAATTAGAATGACAGAGTTTTTTCCTTTTATCCTTCATGCATTTAGTAGGGGGAATCTATTTTTTAAGGTAGTCAGATTTAAGGACTTTTATAGGAGAATGGAAATGACTTCTAACTTTAAAAAATTTTGTTTTTAATCTGTGGCTTTTAATCCCTATTTATATGACCCTTACTTAATAGTCATATAGTAATTTTAAGTTTTCAATTTGATGTTTAAAGATTATAATTCTGTTAGAAATTAAGCTGTAACATTTCCGCATTTACTGTAGCTTTAGGTTGAACAAATTTTGGTTAAAACATTGGCTTTATAAGTCACTGTTATGTGACATTGGAAACCTAACTTTTCCAAGCCTCAGTTTATTCATTTTAGGTGGGAATATTACAGGATTGTAGAAGGAGTAAATAAAATAATGTACATAAACACTTGGCATAGTAAGTTCTCATTATATTATAGCTCTTGTCAGTGTTGAGAGATTATTGTACAGAGAGAGATGTGGTTATAATCTTTGTTTTTTCCTCTTTCCTAATTTCCCAGATTTTATAAGCAGTCTAGTTTATAATGTAGTAATGTATACATATATAATTGTCAAATATATTTTTATCTCTGAGTATATTCACATATGTGTATATTTTTTGTACACCCATTGCCCTTTCCCCAAAACTCTTCAGGGAAAGACCAGATAGATGGATGGATGGTTGGACAGAGGGTTGGATGGATGGGATGTATTTATTAGTAGTGAAGAGACAAAAGAGATACTGTGTTGGGAATTGCTTGCACCACATAGAGATAATAAGACAATTTGTTTTTCCTACTGATAGAAGTTTGGGTTATTTAGAATTTTTATATCTTTTTGATTCAGTTTTAGTAATTAATATGTATCAAGGATTCTGTCTCTTACACATTTTCCTTATCAAAGTACAAGTTCTTAAAGTAGGTATTGATGTTCTGGATTTCTACAGGATCCATTGTGATTTTACCCTTTTCATTCCTAATTGCATGGATTTGAGTCTTTTCCCCTTTTTTGTTAAGGTTGGCTAAGGGTTTGTCAATTTTATTTAATCTTTCAAAGAACCAGCTCTGACTCATTGATTCTTTGTATTGCTTTCTTAGTCTCAATTGCATTAATTTCTGCTCTGATCTTTATAGTTTCCTCCTTTGTATGCACTTTGGATTTAACTTGCTCTTCATTTTCTAGAGGCTTAAGGTTTAACATCAGGTAATTTACTTCAGCTTCCTGTGTTTTTCTGATGTGAGAATTCACTACTGTGAATTTCCCTAGTAAGACTGCTTTCATTGCGTCCCTTAAGTTCTGGTATGTTGTATTAGCATTATTGTTTAATTATAGAAACTGTAATTTCTTTAACTTAATCTGTGACCCATTTGGTTGTTCAGGAGCGTCTTAATTTCCATGTGTTTTTTGGTGTCTTTTGCCATTGATTTACAATTTTATTGCACTGTGATCTGATAATATACATATGATAATTTGAAGTGTTTTGCATGTACTTAAGCATGTTCCATGAGCTTGTACATGGTCTATTTTGGAGAAAGTCCTGTGTGTATTTTATAGGGTGGAACACTCTGTAAATACCTACAAAGCCCATTTATTCAAAGCTTTGGTTCAGTTCTGATATTTCCTTGTTGATTTTTTTTGTCTAGTTGATCTGTTTGTGACAGTGAGGTATTGAGGTTCCCTCATTACAACTGTATTAGTGCTTATTTGGTTTTTCATGTCCATTAATGTTTGTTTTATATAGTTAGGTGTGCTGCTGTTTGGTGCATGTGTATATTTGTGATATCTCCTTCTCTTGGATTATTCCCTTAACAAATATGAAGTGACTTCTGTCTCTTCTGATCAGTCTTAGCTTGACATCCACTTTGTCTGCAAATAGAATAGCTACTCTTGCTTTTTTTCTGGGTTCCTGTTGCATGGAATATTTTCCATTTTTTGACTTTCAGTCTATGAATTTCTTTTTGAGTTAAATGTATTTTTTGTATGTAGCATATTGTTGGATCTTGTTTCTTGATCCATTCTATCAATCTGTTTATTTTGATGGGTGAATTGAGACCATTCATATTGATGATTATAATTGACATGTAATTGACTTACCCTGGTCATATTATTTCCCTTTGTTGGTTCCCTTTCTTTCCCCTCTGTTTAATTGCTGGTGTTTCCTGGTGGGTTCATTCTTTTGGGATTTGTAGAATTGTTGTCTTTGTTGTGTTTTTCTAGAATATCCTTCAGAACTCTTTGGAGTACTGGTTTGTTGGTGCTCATGAATTTCTTTGGGTGTTCTTTTTTTAATTTTTAATTTTTTGGTACCAGGGATTGAACTCCAGTCCTTGTACTTGCGCAGCAGGTGGTGAAACCAATAAGCTAAATCCCCAGCCCTTTTCGGGTATCTTATTTCTCCATCAATGTTTCTTCATCAATTTTGAAAGATAATTTTTCATGGGTATGTCAGTCTGAGTTGGAGGTTGTTTTCTTTTAGGTTTTGAAATACTTCACTCCAGGCTCTCCTTGACTTAAGGTTTGGGTTGAGGTCTGCTGTGACTCTAATGGGCTTTCTTTTATAGGTTATTTGTTCCTTTTCTTGAACAGCTTTTAATACTAGTTTTTGTGTTGAATTTCTGGAATCTTGACTATTATATGCCTTGCTGTAGATATTTTTCTGATCATGCCTAATTAGAATTCTGTATACCTCACATATCTGTATGTCAAATTCTGTTTCCATGCTTGAGCAGTTTTCTGCCATTACTTCTGTAAATAGGTTTTTTATGTCCTTTGTGTTATCTTCTGATTTTTCATTGATTTTGATCAATCTTATGTTACAATTCTTTGCATTGTCTAGCAGCTGTTACATTGATTTTTTTTTTTTTTTTTTTGTGCCCCCTTGCTATTTTTAAGAAGTCTTTCAGGGGCTGGGGATTTAGCTCAGTGGCACCACGCCTGCCTCTCAAGCACAAGATCTTGAGTTCAATCCTTGGTACCAAAGGGGGAAAAAAAAAGAAGTCTTTCATTTGATTATTGATAACTACACACCTGTCTTCTAGGTCTGATATTCTGTCCTTACACTGGTTGATTCTGCTGTGTATATTTTCAATAGAATTTTTAATTTCCTGGATATCTGTTTGAATCTGTTTCGTAGAATCTAGTTCTTTCCTTTGTTGGGCATTCATGGTTTTCATCATTTTCCTAAGCTCCTGTATTTTTTAAAATCTATATCTACTCTAGCTAGATTCACCACCTATATCCTTCATTATGGCCATCATCTGTTTAGTTATCTGTGAAATTATTTCTGATTTTTTTTTTCTAGAGCCTCATTCATCTACTTTACTTTCGCTGCTACTCTCAGAAAGTTCAGCTGGGTGGCTTATGATTTTTTTCCACCTCAGTGCCTTTTGGATTTGCCTTGGGCAAGCTGAAAGTCTGGGGTTACATCTTGCTTCCATGTCTCCTTATTTTCTATTTTAAAAATTTATTTTCTGCGTTGGTGCTTGTAAGTTGCTAATAGTAGGTAGCTTTATTACTAGTATTGAGACCTCGTTAGGAAATGACTATATATATAAACACATACATGAGGTCTTGTTAAATTATCTAAGCTGGTCTCAAACTTGGGAGCTCAACTGATGAGCCTATCTGTGCCTTCCAGTAGCTGGGATTACAGACATGTGCCACAGTGTCTAGCTTTTTTTTTTTTTGATACCGGCAATCGAACTCAGACAATGTGTAGCTTGTAATTCTCAGAAAATCTTTAGTAAATCATGGGGCCTTGTTTGAGAAGCAATCTTCCCCCCAAATATTTAATGGCAAAGTCTTAGTCTGTTGAGGGAATAATACTTTGTCACAGTTTTCTTGATCAATTGTGGAAGTTATCTCTGATCTTTTAAAATTTTCAAAATGTCAGATATTAGTATAGTTTTATGTGCTATAGAATATAGTTATCTGTCAACATAGATTACTTGCAAGGGTACTCTTATGGCTTGTATCTAGAGGTCCTCCCAATGCCTCATGTGCTCATATGTGGGGCTTTTGGGAATTGATCATGAGTATGTGATATTTAAACCAACCACCAGTTGGTTTAAGCATAATTCTGGGTGTGGGTGATAGATTTGCTTAAGAGGGAAGACTGACACTGGGTGTGGGTGGCACCAACCAATAGGCTTGTAGCCTGGATGCAATAAAAAGGGAAAGAAGGAAAGCTCACTGCTTCCTGGCTGCCTTGCCATGAGCTCTTTTTCCTCTGCCATGACCTTCTGCCATGCCTCCCTACCTTGGAGCCAGCCAACTATGGACTGAAACCTCTACAGACTGTGAGCTAAAATAAACCTTTCCTCCTTTAACTTGTGAGTGTTGGGTATTTTATCCCAGCATCAAGAAAATAAGACAAGTGAATAGAAAAAAAGAAGTATATCAGGAAGATTGTGTTTTTGTTCTGGGTTGGCTCTTACCCAAAGGGAGCTGGAAAAGCTGGCATAAACTGGGACAGGTATATCCTATCTGTAGATTACCTATATCAGAATATTTTAGGATTCTTATTAAAAATGACAGTCTTAAGCCCTGGCATATTTACAGAAACTTGTTTTCAATGTTTCCTGAATTTGTTTAACTTCTGAATCCTTTTTTAAAAATCACATACTAATGTCCTGTTTTCTAAGCAATACAGCCTGGAAAAAAGAAGCACTGATCAAGGGAATGTTTCTTATTCCTGCTTTCTAGTAGTTATATAATAGAAATGGAGCCCCCCCTCCCCCCCCGTATGAAACAGGGATATGTAGTTGACATGATACTGTGAGAAACTGGATATACTGATATACCTGAATCTTTTTTTTTTTTTTTTTGTGGTGCTGAGGATCAAAGCAAGGCCTTGTGCATACTAGGCAAGCACCCTACTACTGAGCTACCGATCCCCATTCCTCAAATACTGTTGTGTTTTAATGCTTTGGTTATTTTTAATGCATCCTCCTATATTCTTTGATGTATTTTATGTGAGATTAAGTCCATGAAACCAAAACATAAATATGTGTTAGACTTTTGAAAGAGGAATAAAATTGGCTGTCTATTAATTATATTAAATGGGATTTATTAAAATACTTTTCACTGTTTTCTAAGGCAGATATTTATGAATTTTTTTACTGTCCATTATGGCTAAATTAAATGACTATATTTAGTAGAGAAATTTAATTGTAGATGACAGTTTTGCTCCTGTATTACATAAATTAATTTTAGTATGTTATTGAATTAACAGCAATTCCATTTTTTTTTTTTTTTGGTACTGAAGATAAAATTTGGGACCTTGCGCTTGCAAGGCAGGCAGTGGAACCACTGAGCTAAATCCCTTGCCCAGTATGTTACTGAATTAGTAATGTGGTAAGGAGTAACTACCTAAGCTTGTGCACTTTCTTTTTTTTTGTATATCAGATCACAAAGGAAGAAGAGCGAGAGAAGAAATTTTCTAGAAGGCTAAATCATAGTCCTCCTCAGTCAAGCTCCCGGTACAGAGAAAATAGGTGAGTGGTTCATTGAACCGTATTCAGTGTTTAGATTTTGATTATCTTTTAAATGAAACTTAGATTCTCTTTTACAGAAGAGGAGATAATGCCTACTTTTTTATTGGTCCAGGAAAGTATTACTAGGTACTTTTCTACCAAGAAAATATATATTAGATTTGTATATCTTGGGAGCAAGATTTAGAATTATGCTTGACATGTATTAGTTATCATTTTTATTCCTAATTTGAGATTGCAGTGAAATTGTAACATTACATTTTTTTTGTCTGAAGCTTTCATTTAGTGTGATTTATTTTTTCCATTAAGATTTTGGAGTGTTCAGAGTATATTGATATAATGCGTACTTCTGGAGTATATGTACAAGACTCTATAGTGTGTAAAAGACAGGAATAGATAAATCTTTAGGTACATATGCCTAACTGTATAGACATTGATGTGTATAACACTAAAGACTAAGACATTAAAATAATTTTTTGAAAAAAGTTTAGAATAAAACAGGTTTTATTTTTATAATTATTTTATAATTTGACTTTTTCATATTTATATTCTGATGATAGGATAGGAAATTATGATGTTACAAGTAGTCAACACAGCTTTTGCATTTAGTTTGTTCCCTGTGTAATTAAGTATTGTTTGCATAAAAATGATCACATATTTCTTTAGAAGTCGAGATGAAAGGAAAAAAGATGATCGTTCTCGCAAAAGAGACTATGATCGAAACCCTCCTCGCAGAGATTCGTACAGAGACCGGTATAATAGAAGACGAGGGCGAAGTCGAAGTTACAGCAGGAGTCGAAGCCGAAGTTGGAGTAAAGAGAGACTTCGTGACAGGGATAGAGATAGAAGCAGGACTAGAAGCAGAAGCAGAACACGAAGCAGGGGTAAATAAAACGTACTTTGGTTAGCATTCTTTTACTGTGAAAAGTTCCATATATAAGGGTTTTAAAAATTGTTTAATGTTTTCTGAGTGTTGTCTTTGTTTTTTTCTGTTATCATGTTTCTGTGGTCTAAGTAAATGTTTTAAAAAATATGTTTATAAACTCTTAGTACATGCAGGTTAAAACTGCAGTTACCACTGTACATTTAACAGGACATTTACAATGAAAAAGATTATATTCAGTGTTGATGCGAATGTAGATAAATGAGTTTTTGGAAAACACTTTTGGAAGTATTTTAAAATGTTAAGCCTAGAACAAGACCTATCCATTCCACTCCTAGATACTTATCTAGAAGAAATGAAAGGCTATGTTTATACAAAGATTTGTATTCGTATGTTTGTACTAGCTTTATGTGTAATAGCCTAAAACTAGAAACAACCCAGATGTTCATCAGTAGATGGATATTGATATGGTATCCACATATTGTGGTATATGCCATAACATGAATAAAAAGGAAAGAACTACTGGTACATATACTAAACTAGATGACTCTTAATTGTTATGCTGAGTGAAAAAAGACACAAAAGTACACACACACACACACACACACACACACACATATATAAATAAATTTTAGAAAATGTATACTGATCTGTAATGATAGAAAGCAAACCAGTGGTTGCCTGAGATGGAGTAAAGGAAGAATGGATTACAAGTCAGTTACAAAGAGTTCTGAGGATACCTTTGCAGGTAATAAGTTCTTCATTTTGATTGTAGTGTTGGTTTCATAGGTATATACATAGATCACAACTTACGACATTGTAGACTTTAATTTAGATTTTTATATATGAGTTTCTAAGGTATGTACCTAGATCACAGCTTACTACATTGTGCACTTTAATTATATTTAGATTTTTATATATGTATTATACCTCAAACTATATGTTTAAAAATTGTATTTCAGATGTATATATTTGCACGAGCATGTCATTTCCAACACGTGTAAATACTTTTACTCAGACTTAGATTTTTGTTACTTTAATACTGTTTTTGGCCTTTGTGTAAGCCCTGTATTCTATATTTTTCTTAAGAGTATTTCCTTGGGCTGTAATGTAGGTGTAGCTAGTAGCTCTCTTTGCACATTGCCTCACTTATCTCCATGATGTATTTTGTCTTTCCTGGAACTATGTACAGCCTAGTTTCTTTATGTATAATAAAAACTGTTTTTGTTCCTTTTCTTATCCATTCTCATCTTTAATAGTGTTCATTATAAAATGTCACAGTGTCTTTAGATGGCTGACAATGAAAAGTTTATCAGAGGAAATATACCATGCTTTTTATTATATGTTCTGTTTTGTGGGCTGTACTAAGATTGTGATGAAGATAATAAAATTTCTTTTCTCTAGAAACAAAATTCCAAGGAGAAACTGGTTAAACAGTAGAGTAACTTTATGTGCAGTTTTGTAGTTCAGGTCATATTGAATAGAAATAGCTTACCTTCAAATAATCTGTAGTAATTGAGTAGTTTTTAAAATAAATGACTTAACTAAAAGAAAGTTTCTCTGTTTAAGCAAAAAATACCACCTTAAATCTGGGAAACAGTGGGTTTTGTGTTTTGTTTTGTTTTGTTTTTTAGTAGAGTGTAGTTTATAAGTTGTTTGTATTTTGTTGCAGAAAGGGATCTGGTAAAACCTAAATATGACTTGGATAGAGCAGATCCATTAGAAAACAATTATACTCCAGTCTCTTCAGTACCAAATATCTCATCTGGTCACTATCCTGTACCTACTTTGAGCAGCACCATTACTGTAATTGCTCCTACACATCATGGTAATAACACTACTGAAAGTTGGTCTGAATTTCATGAAGACCAAGTGGATCATAACTCTTATGTAAGACCACCAATGCCAAAGAAACGGTGTAGAGACTATGATGGTAAGTCTATCAATTAAAGTATTAACATCTGCAGCCTCTTAAATTCTGTAAGTTCAGGTTGTACAGTTATTCAAAGACTTATCTCTGATGTTAAAATATTAAGAAATTAGTCTTTATCATTTCCTGAATTCCCAAATATTACTGTACGTTTCATTAGTTACCACTGTCTGTTTATTATCTATTCAAAGACAATTTATTTGTGTGTAAGGTTTAACACGTTAAAGTTTAAACCTATACCTAGAAAATGACCCACCCATTCTACCCCTAGATACGTACTGAGTTATTTTTCAAGGAATCTGCTTCTAATACCTAATAACACAACTCACTTTAGAAATGAGTATTAGGGCCGGAGATTTAGCTCAGTCGTTTCGCTGCCTACTGCGCAAGTATAAGGACCCAAGTTTGATCCCTGGTTCAAAAAAAAAAGAATAGAAATGAGTATTAGAATGTAGCTAAGACCTAGAAATATAAATCTTATGTAAGATTTTTATAAGAGAATTGAAGACTTTCAAGGATTAATAGGAAAAGTTTTATAACTGTTACTAAAGCCAGAGTAATTTCAAGTGAGAGATTTAAATGAGGGATCTGACAAAAACATGACAAAAATTAAATGTAAGTTTTATGTCATCTTGCTAAGTAGACTGATTTTAATTTGGTGATACATTTTTTAGAAATATTAGATATGTTAGATAATATGCATGTACATGTTAGACATATTATCACTTGGTAAATAGGTTTTTGTACTTGGCTTCTTTTTTTATTAGTACATGTTTTCAATTCACACATTTTTACAGTCATTTTGGGGAGTGGTTACATGTATATATTACAGCTTTTTTTGATCTAATCCCCTTCCCCCTCCCTCCCCTGGTTCTCCTATCACCTTTTATATAGGTGATATTATTTATTGTTGATATTATTTGTCTTAGCTCAAGTTATGGCATATAATGTTTACATTAATTGGACTTATTAGGGTCTTATACATGGGACATCTTTATTCCTTTCATTTCCTCTTCCCTTCCTCCTCACTTCTCATCTTTTTCCTTTGGACCACTTTTCTGTTGGACGAGATCTGTCCCTTGTTCCTTTCTCTTCCATCCTTTATCGTTTTCTTTGTTTATACTTTGACTTGAGAGATACCATGTGGTATTTAAGCTTATGTGTCTGATACAGCAATACAGGCATACCAATGTTTATAGCAAGACAATTTGTAATATCTAAATCCTGGTAGTGGCCTATATACTCATGAACAGATGATAGGATAAACAAAATGTGGTATCTGTATATAATGGACTACTACTCTGCTATAAAAAATGACAAATTTGAGGCATGTGTAGGAAAATAGATACCTATATTACTGAAAATGAGCAAGTGGCTTTTGTGAAAAATTATACTTTTGCTTAGTATTAAAAAGATTCATGTTTTTGTTAACCTAGAGACTATTTGTGTTTCTAGTGCTTTTCATATTTGTTTCTAACTATTCTTTACTCACAGAAAAGGGCTTTTGTATGAGAGGTGACATGTGCCCTTTTGATCATGGAAGTGACCCAGTAGTTGTAGAAGATGTCAATCTTCCTGGTATGCTGCCTTTCCCAGCACAGCCTCCTGTTGTTGAAGGACCACCTCCTCCTGGACTCCCCCCACCTCCACCAATTCTTACACCACCACCTGTGAATCTTAGACCCCCAGTGCCACCTCCAGGTCCATTGCCACCCAGTCTCCCACCTGTTACAGGTCAGTAGAAAACACTTGTTTTTTTAGTCTGTATTTATTATCTGTCCATTCATAGTTTTCCTATAAAGTTAATAGGTTTGGCTTGATTTTGTTAAAAGTATCTACAGAAATCATGTAGATGTCTGATAGAAACTAAGCAGAACACTCCCATTTGGAATATACTTAAACACTGCAACCTGTACCAAAGCAGTTGTTGTGACTGGAATGGCCAAGTGAATTATGTACACTACTGATGAACCCCAGTTGCCTGAGATCCTGTATTGCTTAAATCAAACATATTTTGGAAAACATTGAAAGGTTTTGTATCACAAAAACATGTTAAGTTGTAACATCTTTGTGTTTATAGAAGATATTACAGTTTGATAAAGGAAAATATGTTTGGATATACAGTAATTTATTTTATTTGTTTGCTTTCAGATGATATTTCTTATTCTTTGGTTTTGACAGGACCACCACCTCCCCTTCCTCCTTTGCAGCCATCTGGCATGGATGCTCCCCCGAACTCTGCAACCAGTTCTGTTCCTACTGTAGTAACAACCGGCATTCATCACCAGCCTCCTCCTGCTCCACCCTCTCTTTTTACTACAGGTGCAGTTTTGGCCCACTCTGTATTCATACTGTAAAGTAGTTTTAAAGCATACTTTTAGATAAGGAATTTAAGAATGTCTATAGAATTAATTGCTTTGTTAGAATCATTTTTTTCTCACTAAATTATATCAACTACCTTGTAGGCTTGGTGAATATACATTAAGTAATCCATCACTTAATGATTTTTTTTTTTTAAAGTTACATTTTATTTTTAATATCTTTTGCTTTTATGAAACTTTTCTTTGTAATATATATAAAACATGGTAGTTATATTAGTAATTTGTTAGATGGCTTACTGTTCTGTTACCAGTATTAAAAATTACCAAGTGGAGTTTTATAATTGTTTTTTAATTGCAGTTTTTGTATTACCAGATGCATATGACACAGATGGCTACAATCCTGAAGCCCCAAGCATAACAAACACTTCTAGACCTATGTATAGGCACAGAGTGCATGCACAAAGGCCTAACTTGATAGGACTAACATCAGGGGATATGGACTTGCCACCCAGAGGTACTATGATTAATCTTTTATTATCATTTTCATGGTCTCAAGAGTGGGGAAACATTTTTAAAGAACAATTCTTCCTGTGTTTATTGAGGTTGAGTAAGGGATGGTGATCTTGTTAGTTGCCTGAAACCTTTGGTCTTTCATGATAGACAGATAATGTGTGGTTCCATATTTGTGATATAGCCACACTTTATTATACTGTTCCATGGAGAATTTTCCCACAATATACGTTTCTCAGGTAGATTTGTTTTTGTTTCTTTTATTTTATCTGTAGTTCATTCATTTAAACTCTTAAGAGTAATGCTTTAATTCCTAAAGTCTATCCTATTTTTGGATAATGAAATTATCTGTGCAGACTAGTACTTGATGCATTTTATTTTTTATTCACTTTTGACATGTTAAAATTTGATACTGGATTGCTTATGTTTCTAAGCAACAGGAATTGTGTATTAGGAAATTACTCCTTTAAAAAAGTTTTTAGAGGAAACAGACTTTTAAATAGATTTTCTAAGAGTTTGGACTGATAATAGTCAGAAGGCAAGGCAACAGAAGTGCTATACTTGAGATATAAACTGATGAGAAGGATTAAAGGAGTGAGAGTGTTCACATTAATTCGAAAGGGGTAGCATTTTCTGCAGATACCATTTCATAGAGGTAAATGAGGGATATCAGGCATAATAGAAAGTACTACCTAGGCTAGTAAAAATGTCTTTACTTAATCACCCTAATTAACTGTTAAAACCCATTTATATTCTAATGTTTTCTTGTTGTCTTTCCTAGCCAGAATTTAAAAAATCAAGGCTTATCTTTGTGAATAAAAGTCAAACTTAAGCATTATTAATCCTAATGTGGATTAATAAACTTATGATTGCTTATGCCTGTTTTTAATTTGTCATTTGGAAGTCATAAGATTCTGAGCATCTTCTTTAAGTATTTGAAGACCTTTTTGTGATAGAGGTGTGAGGAATATTTTAATTTTATATCCTCTTTGAGATCAGACATTTATGTATAAGTCTAGCCCAACATATATTGTTTAAATTTTCCTTAAGGATTCCAGTAACCACCATAGCAATAAAAAAAAGATTATTAAAATAGTTTCTATATGAATGATAATATAGCTTGTAATTAAAAAGTAGTCACTTAATAGCTCTTTGTGATATTTAGCCATCCTTTGAATCTCTCTCCTACCTAGCTAGTTTATAGAAACTCCATTTCTTTCTTCTACTTAGGACTTTATTCTCATACCAATATTCCTGCTCTGACTTCATTTCTTTCTTACCTTGTTGCTTTGGAGTGGCATAAATATATTTATTAGATTTATTAGATGCATTTACATGTCAGGTTGATTTTTTTGCTGTGATTGAGAGAAGGAAGAGAGCTTAAACCCTTTGTATATAAATCTTACCCATTGCATATAATCTTAGAAGTTGGAATTTGGGTATTTTAGCTCTTCATGCATGCAGTTACAAGTTACTAGTCCTGTTGAGAGATAAATGTCTAGCATTTCTACATAGCGATTTGAATGGCTTTTAAATAAAATTGTAGTACCTGATAATTATTTTAGCATTGATCTTTAGATAACATTATGTACTATTTTGTGAGCTAATGTAGGAATATAGTCTATATTATTATTGTTTTTTAACTTAGCAAACAACTGATTTAGCAACCTATTTGAGTTGAGGATTGCTTATAAGTCTGTTTTCATGGTTTTTTTCAGTCCTTTCTCCTCTCCTGACATACATTCTCATTCCTGATTTAGATTGCAAATTTACTGTCCTGGATTGTGACAGATACATAAAAAGCTCATAGTAGTGTTGATTATGTAATTGTTATACATTTCTTATGGTCTGTAGATGACTAAGTTTATCAAACATTGTAAGTTATGTGTGATAGTTATACTTCTATGCTTAATACTTTAAATCTTGATGGGATCATTAAATAAATGAAAAAAATTAGGCCCTTTGATACTTTAGCATTACTAATGTAAAGGTTTCTTAGAGGTCTTGATAATTACTCTTTCTGTATTTCTAAAGCTAGAGAACTTGATAGATGTGCCCATGATTGGATATAGGCAGGGAGATGGGTTAAGTAGTTTCCCATTTCCAGTCAACAAAATCAATTCTGACAATTTTTAGTAGAAAAACAATTTATTAAAAGGATTTTGTGGGCAAAACAGTACATGTAATGATTAGACACATCTGCTGATTGTATACCAAGAGGAACTTGGCTTCTGTATTTTTAACACTCCTCTTGAATATTAATAAAAAGGAATCTTAAATGAGAAAATAAAAATTGAGGCAAACGCATCGCAATTACTGGAGGAAAAACACATCACTGTCTCTCCTAGTGAGCCTTCAAATGCAGTACATATTAAAGAAGAGTTTAGATCAAAGATTCTCAGTAAGGGCTAGGTAACCAGGTTAAAAGACAAGATGGGAAGGTATCACTGGGCATAAAAACTAGTTTGAACTGTGAATGTCACTAATGCTAGATGCAGAATGTTTCTGCCCAATGTGTTGTGGAGATATAGAATAAATCACAGCCAGAAAAAGTGGGTAGATCAAGCACATGCGCCATATGATAATTTTGAGAAACTGAAAGAACATTTATTTCTGAAATGGATGTAGAAGGACTTAAGAGGTCCATTAAGGCAATTGAAGAATTCTGGAGAGGAGGTGCTAGTAGCTGAACTAGGTTAATAATAGTGAGAAGTGAAAAGACTGACGTTTGGTAGAGAGAATTGACAATACTTTAATCTGTGGGGCTTTGAATAAGGCTAATGGAAAGGGTGAAATTAGACACCAGATTATTTTCCTGAAAAATTAGGCCGATGGTAGTATCATTTGTTGTGAAAGAAGATAGGAAGATAAATTGAGTTTTGGAAGTTTTTAATTGTGGCCTAGGTCATTTGAGTAGAAATGTTCAGCAGGAGATTGGATTTGGAAGTGTGAGGTCCATGAGAGACTGAAAAGGTGAAACCAGAAGGTGCAGACAAAAGCAGGAGGTGGGGATTCCTGAAAATTAGAGAAGGTAATATTTAAGACAGGAAGGTTAGCAGCAGCAAATGCTTCTTAGAGGTCAAGTTAGAAGAGGCCTGAAAAATATTCATAGGCTTAAGCTGTAAGTTAGGACATCGTGTATTTTCAGTAATGGGAACAGCTGTGATGTTCAGGGGATTAATTAGTGAGTGAATAGGTGGTAAGGAAGCAAAGTTAGGTCAGTGTACACATCTTTCAGGAGCTGGCTATGTAGGTATGGAAGGTAAATGGGGTTAGTAAAGGAGAAATAGCTTTATAAAGTTTTCTCTGTAAAAAATGTGTTAATTTTAGCTGTAAAGTTAAGTGTTCATGGGAAATGTCATGAAAAGAGTTGAAGATGGAGGAAAGCAGCAGGGCTCTGGGGCATTGATTTTTGGGCCTCTGTCTCTGAAGATAATTGATGACTAAACAAATCTGAAAGCAAAAACCCAGTTAGGACAATAGACTTGATGAAAAAAAAGTAAGGCAATTTTGTATCAAGGCTGTTGTAGTGGTAAATATGTAAAGTATTGGAAGCAGATATTCATAGCTCTTGCACAGTGCATTTCATTAATTTTCTTTTTAAATCAAGTATGTTTTCAGTGTGTTAATATGTTGCTATTGAAATAAACAGCTTCATTCAAAACTCTTACAGTTTCTCAAAGGTCATTCAATTAGTGTTAAATTTGAATCTTTTAGTTTGTGCATGTGATTCAAAACAATGAATTTAAAGACGCAAAGTAATGTATTTGTATATTTATACAGTATATTGATTTGTGGTGAGAGTGATGGCACATGGAAATTTTCACATGGATTTTTAGGCCTCAAAGTGACCTAAAGAATCACATTTTGTGATGCTGCGCCTACCTGGCAAACACAAGGTCCTGAATTCAGTCCCTGGTGCAAGAAAAAAAGTCACATTTTTATTTGACATGTGAGAATTACTGATTGTTTTTTATAGTTATTAGGTGTCAAATAGAAGAATATATTTGAAATAGGTTAAAAATACCTTGAGTTACTATGTTTGAGTGTACATTTATTTCCCTTTCTTCTAAAATATGTGTATTTGGACAAAAAGTCAGAAACTTTTCAATATGAATTAAGAAAGTAGCTATGATAAAATATTAATCTATGCTTTTTTTCCATTTTTTTCTTTTTTTTTTAACACAGAAAAGCCTCCTAATAAAAGCAGTATGAGAATAGTAGTGGATTCAGAATCGAGGAAAAGAACAATAGGTTCTGGGGAGCCTGGAGGTCCCGCAAAGAAGACTTGGTTTGATAAGTAAGCTGGCAATGAAAACTGAAGAATTTTATTGTACACTGGTTTTACAGACTGTTACTGTATGATTATGACCACATAGTATTTTCTTTTTTAAAAATGTTGAATTATTCTATTGTACAGGCAAACCCCAAATAAAATGTTAACTTATTTTCTAGACATTTGTAGTTTAGTTGTTTGGTACTAGAAAACCATTTTCTTATATAAGTCATGAGATTTTTGAGAACATAATTTTTCCTCATTTCAGTTTTCTAAGAGAAACTACCCCTCACGTAAATATGACATTAAATGCTAGCTATATGTAGGGGGACCCCAATTCAGCATGTAGGCAGTTCCTATTAGGAGCTGGAAAGGGCTTTCTGCAGGGTTGCAAGCAGTTGGAGAGGCATTAAATTATCAAGGAAGAGCTTCAGAGAAAGGTGTATGGAAACAATTTTGAGGAGGGTATGATGATTCATTTATAAATTTGATGTTGAAGAAAGACTACTACCATACCTTTTGAGCTTTAATAATGGATAGTTCATAGTTCTGGCTTTGTGATTGTGTAATTCTGTGATTTGAGGCAAGCTGTCTGACAGTTTTGTCTTTTTCAAGTGTCAGATATGTAATGTGTACTTTCAACACTTCCTTGTTTTTTTAAGCTGAAAAGAAGTTGAGGTGGTCATTCTCTGTATTACAAAAATTAAATTTAAAATTTAATCAAAATTTAATATAGTATACATTTCAACAAGTTAGCCTATACTGACGTGGAAAAAAGGCTTTATGTGCAAATTGACTGATTGAGGATACGAAGACCTTTCCAGCGAAAAATGTTAAATAAGAGCCCAAGTGTGGGAAGTACCAGATTGTATGGCAGAATCTTTCTCAAGTGGTTTCCATGAAAGATGTTAACATGACTGATTTGGGAATTTATTTGGAAGAAAATGGAAATTTCCTTTATCAACTAGTACTTTTTAGTTTTGGGGCAAAACTTGTACTTAATTGAATATTTACATGTAAAACTTTATTCCTTTGTACTTGGTGTAGGGGTCAGGATTTATAAATGTGCTGATCAACTTAATTTTTCTTTACAGACCAAATTTTAATAGGACAAACAGCCCAGGCTTCCAGAAGAAGGTTCAGTTTGGAAATGAAAATACTAAACTTGAACTGAGAAAAGTTCCTCCAGAATTAAATAATATCAGCAAACTTAATGAACATTTTAGTAGATTTGGGACATTGGTTAATTTACAGGTAAGAGCCATGAAATGGTTCCATTGTTCTTGCTTAATTTAATATAATAATAAAACTGGTTTATATAAAGAAATATGGAAAATTTGTTAGTATTCTAAAGTTGGGAAGTTATAGACGTTGTGTCTTTTCTGTTACTGTGATGAAATACCTGAGGGTGATACCTTTTAAAAAGGAGGTATATTTAGCTTACATTTTTAGGGGCTGAAAGTCCAAAATCAGGTAGTACCATTCATTTGGCTTCTGACAAAAGTCAGAGAATGGGTGTTGTCACACAGCAGGAATGCCTGTGAGAGGGAGAGAGATTACGAATGTCTCAAAGTAGCCAGAAAGCAATTCAGTGGTTGAGTTCAGTCTTGTGAGAGCTGAGGTGTCAACGAGAATGACCTGGGCCCCCTAATTCTTTCTAACTGCAGCACCCCTTAGGACCTAAGAACCTCCCATGAGGCCATATCTCCTAACGGTTCACTCTCTCTCCAAAAACATCACCATAGTAAGGACTAAGCCTCAACCACATGCCCCTTTGGGGGAAGCACTCCAGCTATATCTAAACCATAGCAGGCATGAAATGAAACTTTATCCTTTAGAAGAATGTGTGAGTCTTTATTTATTTATTTATTTTCCATTAAGTTTATTGGTACATTTTAGGTATAAAATACAGTTACATTCATCATTGGGATCTTGTACCATTACATGA